TGTCAAATACCCAGAGGGAAACTCTTTTCTTTTTTTTTAAATTTTGTGTTTTTTGTAACTATTTGACCTCATTCTAGTATTCTAAGGACCATGTTATCATCCTCCCCCATTTCTCCTCCCAGAAAGGCACTTTATAGACATAATTTTTTTCAGTCATATCTATTGAGGGGTAATTGACACACAGTAAAATTTTCCCTTTTTCACTTGCATAGTTAGATGAGTTTTTACCCATGTGTACAGTCACTTAATCACCACCACAACCAACACATAGAGCATTGCCACACCCCAAAGAATTCCTTTATGCTTCTCTGTGACTGGCTAGATCTTTAAGTAATAAAACAAACTTTTGACCTGAAATAGTTGATACTATCATGCTTGAAAAGGTTATCAAAATTGTACCCAGCCAACCCTCCTAAATTCCTGTGCTCTGTCTGGATGAAGCCTTCTACTGGGAGCTGGGAGAGGAGCCAGTCGGCTGCTTCTTATTGAGGTTCCCTAGGAGTGTGTCTAATTGGAAGTGTTGACTGAGATAGTTCATATAATTTTGATATTTACATATAAGACCAGAATATCATGGACTTGAAGATAAAGGTTAGATTTGCCTTTAGTTAAAAGTTTTCTTTGAAAATGGATTAGAGATCCAAACGTAAGAAACATGATACTATATAACCATTAGAATAAAACGAGGGCAAATTCCTTTATAACTAGAAGTTGGGAAAGACTTTTAAACTAGGACTCAAACTCCAGAAACAATAAAAGGATGATAAATTTGATGCCATTAAATGTTTTAAAATTTTTAAGCTTTGCATTGTAAAAATATACCATAAACAAACAAAAATGACAAACTGGAGAAAATATTCATAATATAGATAAGTTCTAATATCTCTAATATAGAAAGAACTCTGAAAAATCAAAGTTAAAAATTACCAAAAATGGTATAGAAAAAAAGGACAGAAGCCATGAATAGCTATATAAAAAGCTACATAATGGCCCTTCACCATAAGAAAGGATCAAATTGACCTTATAATAAGAGAAATACAAACTAAAGCTACCCTGAGATACCATTTGTCTCCTTTGTCAGATTGACAAAAAATGATTTTGACAAGCCACTCTGATGGCAAAGCTGTGGGAGAACAGGCATTGTTACACATTGCTGTCAGGAGTGAAAATAATTCAGTCCCTGTGAAGAGGAATGTTACGATATCTAGAGTACATATGCATTTATCATTTGATCCAGCAACCTACTTCTAGAAATTTACCATGGAGATATACTCCCACAAATGCAAAATAAATACAAAAAGTTTTTTTTTTTATTGCTGTGTAATTTGTAATGGGAAAATAGTTAACACAACTTAAATGCCTATCTGTAGGAGACTATCATACATCACACAATGAATTACTATGCAACCCTGAGAAAGAATAAGAAAGATTTCCATGAACTGGTATACAGTAAGTTCTGGGATATATTGAAAAAACAAGTTGCAAAAGAGTGTGTATATGTATGAAGAAACAAGAATAAGTTAGAAATTAATAAAAATGGTTAATGATCAATAAGTCAGATTTGGGGGTTGGAGGGGATAGGAGTGACATTTTCCTGGTATATCTCTATATGGTTTGATCTTTTTTAACTGTAAAATGTTCAACATATCCAAAACATAAAATCTAAAAGGATGAAGAAACACAAACCCTAAAATTGAATACAAACAGAAACAAGTGAACCTAACTTTATGTCAAATTGCTGGCCACATGGTGAAAAGAATTAATTCACAGACTTTAGAACATAGTACTTTGCACACTCTGAATGGGATATATTCTAAGAAAAAAAAAATACAGAGAAATCTTAAACTTAGTAGTCTTGTTAGTAGTGACATTGGTATAATTCTGGAACTGTGCTGCTTTGGGCAAGTTTGAGACAATTTAATTATTAAAAGGAATAGTCATGGAAGTATATTATTAAATTGAATAAAAAATGAATCCATGTGTCTATGGTGATATTCAAAATAAAGAGGGAGATAAAAATTGGACAAAAAGGGAGCCGAGAACAATTCCTAGAGGAAGTGGTATTTTCTCTGTGCCTTCAATATTGATTAGAAATGGAGCATTAGAAATGAATTGATGACATAAGAGATGAGCAAAGGCTCAGAGGCAAGAACATAGACCGCTTGCCTGGAGTGCAGGCATGTAAAGTGGCTGGTGAGAGACTAGACTGGGGAATGGGTTCAGGTCACCTGGACACCGAGGAGGAAATGAGGCACGTCCAGCAGGGTTTTGAACACAGTAAGAGCTTGTCTGGGGCTGGTTAGGTTCTTTTGCTGTCCTGGGGCTAGAGCCTGACATGGGAATGTGTCACTACAAAGGTGACTGTCTGCTCAGGGATTTTTTCTTAATGACATCCAGCAACACTATTAACTTTAAAAACTTCCATCTGCAAAAATCCATTTTTGGGGTATCTTCACATATTTAAGATACACTTTCCCTGTAGTCAAGGTCGGCAAAATTTTTTCCATAGAGTGATAAGCAGTGAATATTTTAGGCTCTGTGTTCTCTGTTTTGACTGTTCAGCTCTACCACTGAAGCATAAAAGCAGGCACAGACAACTCGTGAATGAGTGAGGGTGGCTGTGTCCCAGTGAAACTCTACTCAATGAAAACAGTAGTTTGCCAGATTTGTTTCACTGTACAGTTTGCTAGCCTCTTATGTAAAGAAAAGCACAGTTTAATTCGTTTCCTTTTCAGTCATCAGTAGAGAATAAAATAGCAGACAGTCCTGTCTGCTTGCAGAGCCCAGGGATCTGGGGTTTAGGTGATTGTGTGAGTGAAGAGCCCCAGGAATTGACCAGCTTCATGCTGGGGAAGTGCCTGAAAAGCCACTTTATCAGATGAGAATATCAAGTGCTTTATCATCTTCAAATCTCTTTTTTGGAAAATTGGCTTTGTTGATTTTGATCCAGGGGAGCTCTTGTTTAATGAAGTAGTGTGCTCTCGCTGCAACTTTCCCTAAGAATATTTCAGTCAAGCCACTGATTTATGCTGCCAGTTATGGAGACCACACTTCACTGCTGGGATACTTACTGTAAGGCTGCTGCTTGTCTTTCAGCCAGAGCTGCTTGTGGCAGGCAGTGTGCGTAGCTGCAGAGTGAACACATAAGCCGGCATGTGCATCTTTTACCAGGTCATCTTGGGAGACTTTGTCTGGGGCAGCACATGTGAGAATTTTCTGTTAGCACCCACTTTCAAAGGAACCCAGGGGCCTGGTTGTGTGAAAGTAAGTGAGCTCCTTTGCAGCAGTGCTCTCAAGGCCTTTGGTCATGGTGAAAGCCATAAAATGCACTCCCTGAAAGGTGCCCAGGCAACAGTCAGGTTCAAACTGAGGCTCATGTCACCGGGAGTGGAGCCCAGAGCCAGTCTTCACTTTCCCACATCCAGTGAGTCACCAATGCAGGGTTGATTGCAGTGGTCCTAAGGATGAGATTTGTAAATGCAACCCATATTACATTGCTTGAAATATGAAATGATAGTAAAACAGATGCTGTTTGGACCATTTGAAGTAGCATCCATTCCTGATTAGATGCTGACCTCCCTTTACCCTTTCAGTACATTTCTGAAAAATCGTGCTTAAGGAATTTTTGTAAATCAAGCAGCGTTTTCCTTTTGCTATACATTCCCACTTCAGGGGACCTTCATTTCCACTTTTGATGGTACTATGCGCCAGGCCCCTCCAACATGTAATTATTAATGGATGGTTGTGGAGGGCATGCCCATGGGAGTGGCCACTAGCATTGCATCTGGTTTGTACTGTGCAGCCTGCCTCTGTGTCTTAAAGCCAGCATCTCTCAATTGATTTCATTGCAGGATTAAAATGGCCAGGAGAACAAAAGAATCTTAACCCTCATACAGCTCAGAATAGTGTGTACCAGCTCTGGACTTGTAAAGCGGCTACATGTCCTTCAGCCAGAGCCACTGTTTCTCAGTCCAGTTACCGTATCACTCAGGGCAGAATATGCTGTCAACTCAGAGGAGAGCATGCTGGGTTCCTATCCTGCTGGCCAGGACACTGATTCAAGGCTGCTTAGGAGTATTTAAGAATGATCTGGACATCTAGGAGTTCCTAACCTTGCTAACCAAAGGCTAGTTTCATATTTTACCCCCAAAGTAATGTTAAAGATAGTGATTGAGTTCCCATGTTAGCCCATTATACATCTCTAATAATAAATGACAAAATCTTTTGAATTTGAGTAGTACCAGTGCTCATAAAGTCAATATGAAGTATCTAAAATGTGATTGAATGATGGCATCTGAGGATCTCTGCATTTAGTTTGACATTGGAGGCAGGAAATTTAACAGAGTCTGCAAGCTTTCTGGGTCCTTTAAAAATAAGAGTTTGAGCACTTTTGAGTATTTTTTATGATTAAGAATATTATATCTACTGTTGATTTGTAACTTACAGTTTTCCTTTTCCTCAATAGATAGATAGCTCACGTGATTTTAATGCTTACCCTCAGTGATTTAGGGCAGTTTTTGACTTACAAAATGGAATGACAGGGGGAGATAGATTTTTTCCATGATAACCAATAAGAATTTGAAAAGGAGGAGGAAGAAGAGGAGGAGGATGGTAAAATAGAAGATGTACGCTGATGTTTAATAAGGAGCTCACAAGCTCAGCAGGACAGAGACATCCAAATGCCTGCATCCCCCACCCCCAAGGGGAAAGGTGGTGATGGCAGGGGCTGGTGTTGGGGTGCTGGCACTGACCACAGAACTCCCCCGGGGCCCACCCTGGGGCTGTCTGTGGGGAGAGCAGCAGGAGGGGAGGACAGAGAAGCCAGCATCCCTGGCTATGTGGCCAAGGACATCTTTGCAGACTGGGGCTCTTTCTTCCAGGTGTGTCTGCATTTACTCATGTGCTGTTTGTCTATGGAAAAGAGTGTTAAGCTGTCAAATAGTGAACTACCTCGGTAGTTCCTGATGCCGTGATCATGGTTTTGGTCTCGTTTCTTTTAGGTTACCCCTGTTTCAGGCCAGTGCTTTTGCATTTCTGGCCCCTGCTCGAGCCATCCTGTCTTTAGATAAATGGAAATGTAACACCACAGGTAATTGCAGTTATTTCCACATATGTCATTGGGGTCCTTTAATGCAGGTGATAGAAGGGAGGCCTGGGCGTGCTGCCCCCAGCAGTGTTAAATCCTTTCTGGAATCAGGCACAGAACACACAACCAGCAAACAGCTTAGAACGCTCCAATCTGTGGATCGTGTTTCTGTCTCTCTCTATCCACTTGTTCATCCCTAACCCCAAAGCAAGTAAGGACCAGAAAAGGACCTCATTTCTCTGTGCTAATGAAATTGATAAATATGGGGAAAGAATAGAAAAATATTTGTGCTATTTTTCTGCCTCTTTCTTTCAGTGGATTTTTTGAACCACCAGTTAAATAACTCTCTTTGCTGCAGTAGCATCCCTTCTCTGAAACATCTCTGCTTTTTAAGGATCTGGCTGCTTTGGTTTTCTGCAAATGACTTTCATTCCCCCTCCCATTCTCCTCATAGTGATTGCAAAGATCCTTAAATAACCCAGTAAGGTCAGGAAGAGATCAGATAGGGGATTTGAGGAAATCACATAGACCTGTTGTACTCTCAACAATTTAAATATTGTTAAATTTTTAGGTTATAGGAGCAAAGTTTTCTAGCCCTTGTTTCCTTCCTTGCTCCTAGGAGTTACTTTGTGACCACTGATTTGATTTAGGAACAGGAAAAGGGTCTCTGTTTTATCTAGGTTTCTAAAACCTCAATCAGGCAACCTTGCTATTGGGCATGTCAAAGAGCTGCTTGCAAAGGTTGGTCTTTGTATTAGGCTGGGACTAGCAATGTATATCACTAGTTCAGTCAGCTTTTGAGAAGCCGGGAGCTCTTGTTGATGAATAAACTTGGTTAAATTAGCAATGGGGGAATTCACCTTTCAGTATGATATGCCATAGTGTTGTAACTTGAATTTTAGGGATGAGTATTTATACAAATATACTTACAGCAGGGAGGAAATTCTTCTTAAAAAGAGTGAAATGAATATGTCCCATGAAACATCAGTGTCACTCCAAGAAAAATTTTGTCTTTGTTTTTGTTTTTAAGATGTTTTGGTTGCCAATGGAACAACGGAGCTGTTACATACAGAACACATCTGGTATCCTCGGATACGCGAGGTAAAAGATAAACATTGTCTGCTTATGGCTTCTTTGTGTTTCTACTCATTTTCAGTGTTGGTCGTGACCAGTAAATTGCAGTTGCTCTTTTTTTGTTTCAGGTACTGACATGTTCATTTCTGTTGTTAAAGTAAATTTAGATGGCATCACTGTAAAATAAAGCATGCAGAAATGCTTTGTGTGACCAGACAGTATTGTTTCTTACCCTCTTTTCCATCCTCCTTTCTCCTCCTCTCCTCCTGTGTACTCACAGACCTGTCTGCTTACACCCTCCGGTGTAACAGCTCCCTTTGGAAAGAGCCACAGAGTAGATAGGTTGCAGAACTATTTATTCTGGCCTCAGTGTTTGCCTGTATTGGTGGAAGGAATTAAAGACACTTGTCTGCTTCAGTGCACTTGAATAGAACAGGGTGTAGGAGTCCTTAGATACGAAGAACAGCTGACAGTTTATCCAGATTTTCCAAAACCTATAAGATCATTTACCATTAGTTCAGAATTAACACAGATATGGCCATTCTGCACAGTAGAAACATTCCTTTAGAATTTTTGTCAATAACACTATCTTCTGAATGTCCTGCAGCGACTCACTTTTTAAAGTCAAGAATCTTTGTACTGCATTGTTCCTCTGAGGCTGGTTATGAATGTTGTGTCTTAAATGAGAATTATAAATTATGTCTGTCTCAATCAGTGAGAATAGGCAAGCTGACTTTGTGTCCAGTGCCCATTTCTGTAATACTCTTACATTAGTCAGATTATACTTAAGTTTGCTAGATCCCAGTAACCCCCACTGGTTTCTTTTGGGGTTTGCCAGGAATTTTCGAGCTATGTTATGCCTGTTGTATAATAACTTGGTGCCTTACAGAATTATCAGTTGTCGTTGCAGGTGACATTTAGAGTGTGTGATGTATAAGAAGCTTGCTCTTACGTCTGTGTCCTCTCTTGCTCCAGATCCAGGGAGCCATCATCATGTCCTCATTGATAGAAGTGGTTATCGGCCTCCTAGGCCTGCCTGGGGCTCTGCTGAAATACATCGGACCCCTGACCATCACACCCACGGTGGCCCTTATTGGCCTCTCTGGTTTCCAGGCGGCAGGAGAGAGAGCAGGGAAGCACTGGGGCATCGCCATGCTGTAAGTGTTCCAAGACCACTCAAAAGTGAACAGTAAAAATCTCCCCTCTTCCCAACACTGAGGGACAGCCTCTTTGAATGTTTTGAACATTTATATGAACTTCAGGAGACACTTAAATTAAGATTAGTCTGGTAGTTTAAACTTTATTTGCTTCATGTCAGGGAATTATTGAAGTAACATGCAGCCAAGGTATTCCAAAGACAGATTTGGCAGTGATGTGTAGAGGGAGGGTTGTAAGGTTTTAAACTTTGGGATGGGAGTAAGATGGTGACACCATTAGCTCTGGACTTTTGTGGTCATGCCACGTCTCATACACATGAGCTGGAATACCAAGAAGCTGAATCCTTTAGATGAGACTCAAAAATACTTCTAGACTGGCAGGAGACAGAGATGCTGCAGGAGGTGTGTTGGCATCAAAGGTGATGTGGCTCCTCGGTCAGACAGCTCTGCACGCCTGTCAGGAAGCTGTTATTCCTTCCAGGGTCCTGCTAGTCAGTGCCAGTCCTTTTGCACAGTACTTGAAGTTGATTAAAGATGTCACTTAGCCCTTTTTAAGTAATGTCAGTAAAGACATCCAGGACTTTATAAGATTGATTATTAGAGCCACAGAATTCTATATACCACAGATAGAACCCACATTCTCTGTGTGTATCTGTAGATCATATGTAAGAGTTGACCATATCATAGGGAAATGGTTCCAAGACTCTAGAATTTTACCGATCAGTAAAATTGCTTAAAAAATTTAATAACAATACAAGAGGATTTCTAATTGTTTTTGTTTTGCTTTGTAAAATGTTCTGTAATTATTAAATAACAAGCAGTACTCGTTGAGCCTGTGCATCAGTGTTATATACCACTGGTTGTATATATTATAAATTAAGGTCGGTACCAGTGTTATCCCTGTTTAACAGCTAAAGAAATCGAGGGACAAAGATGCAGAGTTAGTTGCCTGGGGTCACACAGCTAGTAAGTGGCCAAGATGGTTTTCATAACCCAAATAGTCTGACTAGAACTTAACCCATAACACTTAATTCTGTCTCTCTGTGTTAGAACATGGTTTACAAATAAAGTGAGTCCTTGCATAATTGTAATCCCATGTATCATTATAAATTAAGGTATAGGAAAGTATCCAGTGTTGCTCTTAATTTTCTCATTTCACCAAAGGTTGTCAATATTTCCATACCAGGATGGGTAAGTATAAAGCACGTAAGAATGTTCACTCAGTGAAATGCAGTAAGTTCCAAAAAGGAGAAATTGTATTTACCATCACGCAGTAAACTTTAGGAACCAATAATAAAAGTGAACAAAACCCCCAAATGACTTAGAAGCAAAAGAACACCATTGTAAATAACTCAGAGAGGAACTCAAAACTTCACAATTGCTGACAATTTAGCAAATGATGACGATAACAGCACTGGTCACACAGAGCAGTCAGTTGTTCTCAAGAAAAGTCAAATAAAAATGAAGTACATGAAGAGCTTATCTCCAGAAACTAGAAAAACATGATAAAAAATGAACACAGTGAAAGCAGGGGAAAGAATTAGTAAAGATACAAAAAACATGAAACAGATAGAAGTGATACATCCCAAAGGTGGTTCTTTGGAGAATGGCAAACATATACTATAGATAGGCTGCTGGCAGGGCTAATTAAGGTGAGAAAGGAATGCACGCACAAAGAGAGGGATAAAACTGCAGCTCCAGGGAAGATGTGTTGAATCTGTGTTCCTGCCCCGAAACTTTAAAAAAATAATAAAATAGGTGGTTTCCCAGCTCTTTCATTTGATAAATAATCAAAATTGACTCCTTCTCCCCCTGACATCTGGATATTAGGGCTCCTCAGAACTTGGTCCTGGGCCTCCTCCTGTCCACATGCTCTTCCCCTGGGACATCTCATCCAGTTCGCAGCATCAACAGACATGCATTATGCTGGTGGCTTCCACAGGAACCTGAAGCCCAGGCCTCTGAACTCAGACTTAGAGAACCCCTGACTTGCCCTCTCCATTTGCTGTTACACAAGACATTTCAAACTTCAAAGGAAGAAAACTCCAAACTTTTCATTCCCTCCTTGCCCCCAAACCAGTTCCTTCTGTCATCCTCTCAGTGGCACAGCCACACACCCAGGTGCTTAAGCCAGAAGCCCTGCAGTCATCCTTCTTTCTTCACTTTTCCTTATTCCCCATGTACAGCCCATCATTCTGTCCTACCTCCAGAACAAACAAATCCCCAGCCTATCCTCTGGACTGTCATTGCCACCACACCCAGCCATCACTTCCAAACTGGTCTCCAGCTCCTTTTTTGTTCCCTTCCTGTCAATTCTCAGTCCTGTAAAATGCTTGGCCATTATCTCTTCAAGGCCTCCTCTTCTGTCTCCTCCTTTTGCTGGAATTCTAGAAGCTTTTAGGTCTTGTCATCACAATGTCTGAAACCTCACATGCTGCCCCTTGGTGGTCTGTTTACATCTCGGGCTTGGCACTCTGGGCCTCTTCTCTTTGGACTCTCAGGTGTTCATGGGAAATGATCTTGAATTACTTCAAAGATGCCCTCCTCCCCTCCATCCCTGCTTGTCTCTCTTTTTCTGGAACTTCTAGAATGTTGGTCCTCCCAAAGTCCTCTTAACTTTCCTCTCCTGTCTTCCATCTCTTCGTCTTTTTTCTCTATTCATAGGAATTTTCCTCAGCTTTATGATTCCTTCCGTCGAGGTTTTTATTTCTTCTCTCCTGTCTTTTAGTTTCCAGAGCTCTTCTTTTGTGCTTGGGATATCAGCTGTATGAGGGCAGGGCCTTAGCTCTATGCTAGTTACCATGGCACTGCCAGCACCTGGTTCACCATCTGTCCCAGGGCAGGCGTTCAGTGAGAACATTGTGAATAAATGAAGGGGGAGGGTTGAGAGGTGTGAGCACACCCTTGACCATGGGAAGAAAAGTCAAAGATGTTGTGGAAGGACTTTCATTCCTAAAGGATGTGCTCCATTGATTAGACAGTGAGTGTATTACATCTTCAAGGAACAGAGAATTCCTGCACTGTTTAAACTGTTCCTGTAGCTTTGAGAAAGAAGGGAAACTTCACAGTTCTATCCTGATGGCAAATCCTGACAGAGCTAATGCAAAAGGGAGATTCTGGACCAACTTTTTCCTTCCTGGGGTTGTGTAAAACCCTGAGCAAATATATTCAGGTAGTAGCATCTAAAGCTCAGCATTTTTGTCTACTGTAAGGCTCCGTGCAATCTCTAAGATGCAAGTGTATAGAAAACTTTCAGAAAAGAGCCTTAGTTTACAGCTCTGCACATACTTAATTTTTGAAGTGCTACATCTATAAACATAATCTGAAAAGAATGTTTCTTGGAACATGGTTTGGGAAAATGCCACTATAGATAATATAATAAAAGAGCAATGTATTTATCATTTCAGGAACTCAAGGATGATTAAATATTAGAAAATTTATTAATAAAATTCATTATAGGTCTCTGGTGGGTTTTATTAATAAAAATCATGGTGACACATTTTTAAAAATTGATCAAGTTCAACCTACGTCCCTACTGCAGACTGTTGGCAGTGATAAATAAGATTTTTAAATGCCCCATACATTAATGGTGAAAGACTTAAATTAGGCCTGCCTATTGAAATCAGAAACTGAGATAAGCATGTTTATTATCAGTATCATTTAAAGTTGTTCTGGATGTGTAGCCAATGCGTAAGACAAGAAAATAAAATAATATGGATCAATACAGAGAAAGTCAGGGAGAAGGAAATGATGACTTGCCCTTAACAATAATTAAAACACATTCCAGAATTTAATAACAATACTGTGACCTGAGACAGGGTGGACATTGGTAGAGCAGAGTAGGGAGGCTAGAAACATAACCAATAAAAAAACTAATATTTAGTATATGATGGCAGGTCATATTCGAAATCAGTGAGGAATGGGAGAACTGTGTAGGAAGATAATTATTTGGAAAAATAATAACCAGATTTCTGGTTTATATCAGAAATACATTTCAATTACTTACATATAGAAAATAAAACCATGAAAATGCTACAAGGAAACCTACATTAAGTGTTTAATCACAAAAAAACAGGTGAGATGAAGCAGATATGGAAAGAGGAAGATTGATTTTACTACTGATGAATTTAAAACTCATATCAAAAACCAATGAAACTAAATTTTAAATGAATCTGGGAAAATATTTATAACAAACTCCACAAGAAAGGCTCATGTTCCCAATTCATAGAGTTTCACCAATTAATTTAAAGGAGAGAGAGTCCTGGTGGAGTAATGAATGAAGGGTATGGTACGAACAACCACTTAACAGAAAAAAAGAAATACAAATAAACCAATTAGTGTTTAAAAAGGGTTGCCCTCCCTGGTTATGAAATTGCATATTCACATGGAACGCTTTAGCAGTGGGGGTATTGGTGGTGGGTCAACATGGGCTCCTGAGTCAGCCAATAGATGTGGCATTTAGAGGCAGACTCTCAGGGAAGAGGAAATGTGGTGAACGCATAAGTCCCGTGTTTTTCCTGAGAATATTTATTTTCTGTTTACTTTTCTTGTGGATAACTTAAAACCTATTCAAAAGTAGAATAGTGTAATAAAATGCCATGTACCATCACCAGATGCTCAAGAAAAGTCTCATTTTGTCTGTACCCCCAAATTCATTGAAATTCTAGGATTTTGAGGTTTAATAATAAACAGAGAAATCTAAAGTAAAGTAATAGTCCCTCCCACACACCCCCATCCCTCTAAAAAATCTTCTCATGAATAACTAACAAAAATGTAGTATTTATCCTTCCATGTTTTATATTATTGATGCAGAAATACAAACATGTGCACGTATACAGCTTTACCATTATTTTATAATTTGTTTTTCATCCCAATAATTTGTCGGGGTCACATCTCCAAGACAATGTGTTTAGGTCTTTTTCATTCTTTGCACAACTGCACAATGTTAAGTAGTATGAAATAGTCTATATTAAACCATTCCCCAGTTGATACTCAAGCACGTTGTTTAAAATATTTGCTGTTGCAAACAATGCTGAAATACCTATTCTCATGTGTAAAGAATGAATATTAAAATAAATGATATACAGTTTTTTAAATTGATGAAGTTGGTAGGGATTTAAAAGTATAAGACCCTGTGTTGCAGTGAGTAGCAAATGGACACTCTTTTTTTAAAAATTTATTTTATTGAAGTATAGTTGATTTACAATGTTGTGTTAATTTCTAGTGTACAGCAAAGTGATTCAGTTATACGTATATATACACATTCTTTTTCATTATGGTTTATCACAGGATATTGAATATAGTTCCCTGTGCTATACAGTAGGACCTTGTTTTTTTATTATTTTGTTTGTTTGTTTGGTTTTGGTTTTTTTTGACTGCGCCACGCAGCATACAAAATCCCTCCCCTCCCCCCTCCCCCTTCGCAACCACAAGTCTGTTTTCTATGTCTGTGAGTCTGTTCTATTTTATAGATAAATTCATTTGTGTCATATTTCAGATTCCACATATAAGTGATATTATATGGTATTTGTCTTTCTCCTTCTGACTTACTTCACTTACTGTGATAATCTCTAGGTCCATCCATGTTGCTGCGAATGGCATTATTTCATTCTTTTTTATGGCTAAGTAGTATTCCATTGCATATATGTACCACATCTTTTTTTTTTAAGTGTAGGTGTTTTTTTTTTAATTGGAGTATAGTTGATTTACAATATCATGTTAGTTTCTGTACCACATCTTCGTTATCCATTCATCTATCTATGGACATTTAAGTTATTTCCATGTCTTGGCTATTGTAAATAGTGCTGCAGTGAACATTGGGGTACATGTATCTTTTTGAATTAGAGTTTTCTCCAGATATATCCCCAAGAGTGGGATTGCAGGATCATATGGCAACTCTGTTTTTAGTTTTCTGAGGAAACTCCATAGTGGCTGCGCCAATTTGCATTCCCACCAGCAGTGCAGGAGGGCTCCCTTTTCTCCACACCCTCTCCAGCATTCATTTTTTATAGACTTTTTAATGATGGCCATTCTTTTTTTTTTAAATTAATTAATTATTTTTGTTTGCATTGGGTCTTCGTTGCTACGCATGGGCTTTCTCTAGTTGTGGTGAGCAGGGGCTTCTCTTGTTGCGGAGCATGGGGTCTAGGCGCTCAGGCTTCAGTAGTTGCAGCACACAGGCTCAGTAGTTGTGGCACACGGGCTTAGTTGCTCCATGGCATGTGGGATCTTCCCAGACCAGGGCTCAAACCCATGTCCCCTGCATTGGCAGGGGGGTTCTTAACCACTGCGAATGATGGCCATTCTGGCCGGTGTGAGGTGATACCTCATTGTAGTTTTGATTTGCATTTCTCTAATAATTAGTGATGTTGAGCATCTTTTCATGTGCCTGTTGGCCATCTGTGTGTCTTCTTTGGAGAAATGTCTATTTAGGTCTTCTGCGCATTTTTCGATTGGGTTGTTTGGTTTTTTGTTATTGAGTTGTATGAGCTGTTTGTATATTTTGGAAATTAAGCCCTTGTTGGTCACATCAGCAGATGGACATTGGTCTCTGTGTGGGATTGTAAATTCACCCAACCTTTCTGTATGTATTTAGCAGTTTGTATCAAACACTTTTTAATAAGGTGTTCACTGTTGGACAGATCTGTTCTAGTCCTAGGAACTTGTCATAAGGAGACATTCAGACTGGTGCCAGAGAAGGATGATTCATTGCAGTTGTTTTTGTTGCTCCCAATGTCGTACCTTAGGGGACATGTTTAAATAAGATGTGGTACATCCACTAGATGGAACGCTAAGCAGTCACTAAGGTGCTGATGCAGGTTGCCATCTCTTGAGGTGAGGGTGTTAACTGAGGCTGCAAGCTAGTTGGGAAGCAGCATGTAAAGTATGATTCGAGTTTGGGCTAAATGATGACCTGTTTGTGCTCTAGGGGCAAGGATGACATCAGATAGTCCTGTCTCCCTCTCTAATCCCAGTGCCTGGGACCTGATGACATGCTCTAAAACAGGGGTCTCCAACCCCCAGGCCACGGACTGGTACTGGTCCTCAGTCTGTTAGGTACCGGGCCGCACAGCAGGAGGTGAGTGGCGGGCGAGTGAGCGAAGCTTCACCTGCCACTCCCCATTGCTCACATTACCACCTGAACCATCTAACCCCCACCCCACCCCCGTCTGTGGAAAAATTGTCTTCCACAAAACCGGTCCCCAGTGCCAAAAAGGTTGGGGACCGCTGCTCTAAAAAGCCCTGGGAATTGATAGACCAGAATGCTGCATGCTTATCGCCCAATGTGAGATGATGAGCAGTCTTCAAGATTTTGTCTCCTTTTGCTTATCAGCCTTTTATAATTTTTCTACATCTTAGTATGCATTGCTTGCATGATATAGGTAAGGTCAAAACAAAGGTAGACATCTATAACACACACGCCTACACACACACACACACACACACACACCCTACACACACACACACTCCTAACCACAACACACACACCCATATACACACACCCCTACACACACACACACACACACACACACACCCTACACACACACATTCCTAACCACAGCACACACCCAATACACACACCCCTAAAAATACGCATATACACTCCTGACCACAATACACACACCCATACACACACACACACTCCTAACCACAACACACACCCCCATATACACACACCGCTACACACACACACACACCCTACACACACACACACTCCTAAAAAAAAAAAAACAAAGGTAGACAAACAAGCAAAATGTAACATGAGATGGAAAACACCTGATGTGGTGGACAAGAACCCTGGCCTGAGGATCCGGGCTCAGATCCTGTCCCTTATGTGCTAGGCCCAGTCTTATGAACTCAGACACATCACCCACTGCTGAGCCTCTGCTTCTGCCTCTCTGCAGTGGGGCTGCCTGCCCTACCTGCCCCACAGGTGTATTTGAGGATAAAAATAGAAGAGTAGTGTTCACCTGCTCAGTTCACTTACTCAATTTCAGTTGCCATATTTGAGCCTGAGATCTGGGTGACCTTCCTTGTATTCTGTTATGTGTTTCCTTTACATTTTTAAATGTGCTTTGAAAAGTGAACACCATAATGCAGGTGTAACTGTCAGGTGGGATGTTGCCTGCGATAATTATAACAGTAATAATAGATACCAGGCTTTTTTGGATCTTAGTATATACTTTGGAAGAAAACCAATAACTTTTTTAAGACATGAAAATTTTACGTTGGTCTAAGTTTAAAATACACCTGTTTTAGTATCCCTCATTATCATACTGGTTTTTGTTAAACTTCACCTTCCTGGGGGAGTTGGAATAACTTGGGCACCATTTATGTTTTCATCCTTGAACTGGTACTGGTCTGATGACTTTGTGGTGGTACCAGGTCAGCAAAGTGCCTGCATAGAGGGGGAGATGGTAGAGTGGTGGCCGGCTGCAGTCAACACCTCAGGTGGAATGTGACCATGAAGCTGCAGTTGACCAGCTCTTAATGAAACTGATAATTCCATCTCAGCAATTAGAATTGTGCCCAGGAACAATTAAGCTTAACTTTGACTGAGAATCAACTCTTCCTGCCAACTCTACCTCAGGTTGTAAGGGAAAGAATGAGTCCCTATGGGTGATGAGACATATTGTTGTACGCCTTCATCATTTCAGTGGGGGGAAGCCATCCCACACCTGCCACACATGGGGCACCAGATGGATGAGGTTGTGTTGGGTCCTGCTGCAGGGGGGTGACCAGCCGACCTGCCTCCTGCAGCATTCAGTGTACCTGGGTCAAGAGTGTGGGACTCGGTAGAGAGAAACTGTTGAGTCAACCCAGGCATCCCTTCCCTCACAAACAGTGTGAAGGTAGTTCAGAACCCAGGCTGTAGAGCTAGACGTCTGGCCCACGTAGCTGCATGATCTTGGACTGCTGGCTTTGTTTCTCTTTAAAGTGGATGGTTATAGAAGCCGCTGTAGAAGGATAGGATGATGGGCAGGAAGACCTATGTGTAATGTCTGACACAGAAACCTCTCAGGAATATTATTATTAATATTGAATTCTACTGTATATAGTTTTCTTAAATATTGAAGTTTTACTTTTTGCTTTTTTTTTTTTTTTTTTTCCTTGCGTTATGCGGGCCTCTCACTGTTGTGGCCTCTCCCATTTGCGGAGCACAGGCTCCGGACGCGCAGGCTCAGTGGCCATGGCTCACGGGCCCAGCCGCTCCGCGGCATGTGGGATCTTCCCGAAACGGGGCACGAACCCGCGTCTCCTGCATTGGCAGGCGGACTCTCAAGCACTGCGCCACCAGGGAAGCCCCTACTTTTTGCTTTTTAAAAGTAATTTATGTTCCTTACAAGTAAATCAGAAAATACAGAAAAGTGGGGGGAAAAAGGTCACAAATCACATTGCCACCTGAAGCCAATCCTTGTGAGCATTTTGGATCCTGTCCTTCTTACCTGTTTGCATGCATGCATGCATGTGTGTGTGTACATGCACTCTTGTGTGGTAGCTGCTTTTTAGTTAATTTATAGTTGTAATTATACTGTGCAGTATGTTGTATCTGGCATCTTGTTTTGTTCCCTTACATAGTGTGAGATTTTCCTATCGGTGTGTACATTCTTTGGGTTTTCTTATTCTGTTAAGGAATATTTAGCGAAAGCATTTACATGGCAATTTCATTTCCATATCTAGAAATGTTAAGATCTAAAAATCATTTCCAAAAAATATGATTTCCCAAATGATAGAGGACTAGTAGCTTTGTAGAGAAATGAGTTGAACATGTGTGGTCAATTTTGCCATTGAAGATTTGAGTATTATTTTTAACACAGACATAACAGCCTTTAACCTAGATCATTTTCTTTCTCTCCTCAGGACAATTTTCCTAGTATTACTGTTTTCTCAATATGCCAGAAATGTTAAATTTCCTCTCCCAATTTACAAATCCAAGAAAGGATGGACTGCATACAAGTTACAGCTTTTCAAAATGTTTCCTGTGAGTAGTCACCTTTTTTTTTTTTTTTTGGCAATATTGCCTTTGGTTCATATGTAAAATGTTTATATGAGAAGAGGGGTTTTAAGCAGATCATCCTGGGGGGACCATGTCTGTGTGATGATATCAGGGTACTAATGACCATCCAAATCACCATGGACCTAAAATTTAAAAGCAGTGGAAGTTTCCAATGCTGGAGTCCTTTTAGCAGTATGTGAGAGGACATTGATTGTCCTTGGAATTGAAGGAGGTCTGACTCCATGTGGCCTTTTCAGGCCCATTGTCCATTATTCTTATTTTACTAGCCAGATTCGGGCTAAATCACTTTACTGCATAAAATTGCTCTCTCTAAATGTGATTCCATTCAAGGAATAGGTTCTAAGCAGATCCCTTATGTGTTTTTTCTGCAAAGTACTGATGATGATGATGGGCTCTGGGGTATGATATTCTGACTGCAGGAAGGCGTCTTTTGCCAACAACCACCACTTCTGTTGGCCTGACAGAGCTTTTTCCTTTGACCACTTCAGATCATCCTGGCCATCCTTGTGTCCTGGCTGCTCTGCTTCATCTTCACAGTAACAGATGTCTTCCCTCCTGATAGCACGAAGTATGGCTTCTATGCTCGAACTGATGCCAGGCAGGGTGTGCTTCTGGTAGCCCCGTGGTTTAAGGTCCCATACCCATGTAAGTATTCTCGTGGCCAAGAGGGGTCAAGAGCCCACAAGGGCCCAACCTAGAGGAGTTGGAAGTTGGCAGGAGGCTCTCCAACACGAAAGGCCTTCTTTGTCCCAGAGCATGCCCTGGAAGTCTTACCATTCTGACCCTTAGAGGATTAGACAGCAGAAAAGGGAGGAGGAGGCTTTGTCCCCAGAGGGCCATAATTAACACAGAGACTAACCAGCTCCCTTCTCATGTATACTGGTTGTTTCTTTTGGTTCCACTAGGGCAAAATCCCAGGCGTAAAGGGGTCTCTTGCCAGATTTGATCTCTGGTGGCCAGGATTTGAGGGCAGCTGCTTAGAAAGGCAAGTACAGAGCTGCACAGTACCCAAGCAACTGAAATGAACAGACTTGAGTGGGAGAGGCCTGAAGATTAGCAGATGTCTCAAGCATGATGGAGTTTGTATAATCTTTTAATGGGTAGCTGTAATTTTTTTTTTAATTTGGTCACAGCTGTCAGGTAAACTAATATTCATTCACAAATGGATGGATGATGGATCTTGTTATAATTTCAGTGTTGGGTAACTCTTGGCCAGGTGGCAGGGATGTACAATCCTCATCTGTGAGGTTATCACTTGGATTCATGTGTAGCGTTTTCTAGACCCCAGCCCCAAAAATGATTGGTGTGAACCCAGTGATGATTGCATGCTTGTTGTTGTATTGTGAAGAGTCTGTTCCTGACATTTAAGGTTTTTATTAGAATGGAAACCTGAACTTAGTTGGGTTGTGCCAATTTATACCCCTGTCCAGCAGTCACATTTTCATATTTTATGACAAGGAGGAAAAGCCAAGGATATTAAGACTGGGTTAGAGATAACTGTTCTAAGGACTTCCCTGGAGGTCCAGTGGCTGGGACTCTTGTGCTTCCACTGCAGGGGGCATGGGTTCAATTCCTGGTCAGGGAACTAAGATCCCACATGCCACGACATGGTCGAAAAAAAAGAAAAGATAGCTGTTCTAAGCATGTTAAATGATAGGGATGCTGGCAGTTGTTCCTTCTGGTCTTGACACATTTACAAACACTGTAAAAAGCTTAGTCTTTCTAAAAAAACCTTCTCATCAGATTATATGGTATAAGTATATATTCCCCCCAGTACATGGTTCATAAACATACATGTAATCTGAGATAAAGTGAGTTTAAAAGTCGATTGGTGAGGGAGTCAGGAGGAGGCATGGGAGGGCAGGTAAGAGGAAGCCCTCACGGCACATGCGGGGTGGTCCTCGCTGCCTGTGCATGTGGCTCCCAAGATGAGCACAAATAGAAACACAGAGTGGGGTCTCCAGGAGAAGCAGCTGTGAGTGTGTTGAGAGACCAGAGAGATTTTGCTCAGGTACCATGGGGCCCATGCACAAGGAGGCATAACTGAGTTGAACAGGGCCTTAATGTCATGACTGCAGAGAGTGCTGTCTGGCTCCTCTTGACAACAGCCCTTGACTGCCACCAGCTTCTCTATTGCCAGAGCTCCCCTAGATAAAGAGCTACTTCCAGAGCCAGATGATGTAGTCTTATGTACTCTATAATGATTTGGCTTAATCCAGAGACAAGTTTTCATATATCTAGAGCAGTGGTTCTTAGTCTTTAATATGCTAAGAATTACCTGGATTGGTTATTAAAATACAGATTTCTGGTCCAAAATGTCAACAGTGCCGAGTTGAGAAACCTTCTATAAAGTAACAAAATAAAGCTTCTAGATAAGAGGAAAGTGAAATAACAGACTTAAATAGAAGGCTGGAAGCCAGCAGGTTTAAAATTTAAATAAATAAATAATCTGAAGGAAAAGGGATCAAAAATTAAGATTACAAATTTTAAATGTTGAAGTAAATGGAATAAATATTTTTAAAATAAGGACTTCAGGCAAAGGGGAAAATAATAAGAAAGCAGTGAAAAAGTAAAAAGACAGAAAATAAAAGGCAATTTCTGAAGAATAATAAATGGCAAAATAAAACAAGAATCCAACCCCCAAAATCAAGATACTAAAACCACAGTGCTACATCAGCAAAGGTAACCATATAAAAAGTTACCTAGAAAACACAAAATGTTGCTTGATAAAGAAATCATCTGCATGAGAAGAATCCATTCCAAACCAATCCAGAGATGAGATGTTGACCAAGCCAGTTGCTGGTCGGTCTGCACCTTGAACCCCTGACCACAGGCTGCCTCTGCACCCGCTGGTCAGCTCCCACAGGGTAAAGTGAGCTCCAGGCAGGAAAAGTTCTGTCTATACACATACTCCAGGCATATTCTGCACATCTTACTTTACGTGTCATCTTTTTCTTCCCAAACTTGTGGTTGCTCCCATTACCTATGAGACAGAGGCCAAGCCCCTCCACGGGGCTGGTCAAGGCCTTCCAAACCTACCTGCCCCATGCTGCACACCCACCTCTGCTGAGCACTAGCCTATTCCTGCCCGGCTGTGTCCATCCACTGATGCTCAGGCTGCTGCCTACCCAGAACACCTGCTCCACCTGTCTCCTGCTCTCCAGGCCCTTCTTGGACAGGGACTGTGCTACTTCCTGACTTCCTAACTGGTACTCATTGTGACCTGGTTTGGGTTGCCTTCATTTGAAGTCTAATCATTTTACTGTTTCCAAGATCTTTTAGTGTTCTGATCCCTCAGTACACTGTTGGCCCCTGCACAAGAGAACATTTTATACATTTCTTTTTTCACTGTCCTTTCTATTTAGTAGCTCTATTATAACTAACGGTTCAGGGAAAGAAGGTCTAGGTACTTTACAAAGAAGTCTATTCGTTCTAACAGTGAAGGTTCCTCATGCTATTTTTATTAAATAAGATCAATGGTTTTTGGTATCCAAATAGATATACTTTTAAAGGAAAAAAAAACCCAACTAAAAATTAAATCTGGACAGGATACTCAAAATGAAGCTACCTGGGGACTTTGCTTTGCTTTCTTAAAGGAAACTCTTTAATTTTCCATAACATGGTTTACTTAAAAAAAAAAAGTGCTGGAATTATACTAGAGAAGGGTTGTCTATACTTTGTGCCATGCTTTACTGTTGGGATTTAAATTTAGCTGGTGATTTTTCATTTGACGCCACCCCCTGGGCAGGAGCACTATTTTGTATCATGCTTTGCACAGCAGGGCTAAAAATCCTCTTCATACAAATTCCTATGCCAACAAAGCAGGCTGTGTTGAACTGTAATTTAACAGACACTGAGTGTGGCTCTGAAGCAGGAAGAGTAGCACCCACCTCTTCCAGCCAAACAATTTCTTCTTTTAAATAAAGCAGACCAATCCTGGTTATGACTGTCTTCATCCAACTCAGAAACTATTCCCAGGCATCTAGTGCACTGATGACTTAGGTGTAAAAATAAACAAATAGTTTCCATGAGCTTCAAAAATCTGAGTGGATCTTGTAGAGTCCTCTAACATACTGAAGGACTCAATGTCCTGAAAACTTTTGCCTGCCTCTCTAAGAAAGTTCATGAGGCTTTCATGCTTGTTTTCCTTCCTTAGTTCAATGGGGACTGCCCACCATCTCTGCGGCTGGTGTCATCGGCATGCTCAGTGCGGTCGTTGCCAGTATTATCGAGTCTATCGGGGACTACTACGCCTGTGCAAGGCTGTCCTGTGCCCCACCGCCCCCCATCCATGCAATAAACAGGTGCGTTCCTGAGAAAAAACGAGCTCTTCATCGGGCCCAGCGCCTCATACTTTGCTCTTTGGTTTGGATAACCAAGAGTTTCAACATGAAGTAGCCAAGCACCAGGGCTCTTTATTGGCTGTTTGTTTTGGACAAGTCACTGCCCCCATTTTGCCCTGATTTTCCTCATCCATAATATGGAGCAGAATTCCCACCCTTCTTCCTCATGGTAACAGTTGTATAAGACATTCTCTGTGAGATCACTCCAGACCTTAAACTCACCAAAACAAGTACCAGATACTGCCATTGTTCTTTGCTTGGTTTGGGTCATGGATGTATTGTCCCCTTTGATTTCTCGTTTTCCCAGCTGTTCTATTCACAGTTACAGTTCATATATAGAGAGACAAGAGCAGGAATAAATGAAGTCTGTAGAATCTAGAGGTTTATAAGCTGTGGAGTTTATATTCTCAGCACATCTGGTCTTTAGTTTCTGGATGCTGGGGGCAAATTGGGCCCTATGGAAGCTGCAGAGAAGAGAAAATAGCCCAGATCATTCCGCCTTTCCCAGCCAGCTGCCGCCCTTCCAGAAGGGATTGTGTGTGATGAGATCCAAAGGGCTTGTGTCTTAGCATCTCTTGCATTGGTTCTGTTGGGGTTTAGAGTCCTGGTTTTTCTGTTTTTCTCTAATGGAGTTATTGCATATGAGTAAATTACTTATATACTGATTCTTTTAAAAGTTATAATGTTTACAAAATTACAAAGTATTTCTTTTCTGATAAAACTATATAGTAATAGGAAAGGAATCAAATCAATGGATGACCCGTGTTTGTCTTAGATTCCAACAAATGACTTTATATTTCTGGCTAAAATCTTTTAATTTGGAATAATTTTTAAACATTTGTGTCTGATATGTGGTTCAGAGATGTGCTTCTCAAAGTTGAATGAGCATGGAGAATACTGTTAAAATGCAGGTCTTCAGATCTGGGGTGGGGCCTGAGAGTCTGCATTGCTAACCCCTCCTGGGGAGTGTGGAGGCTTCAGGTCTGTGGACCCTGCCTTTGGGTCACAACCATTTAGAGTGTATTTCAGAGTATTTCTCCTGTGGAATGAATGTTTTTCTTTCCCCCATTCCTTTACGTTTTAGGGGGATTTTCGTGGAGGGTCTCTCCTGTGTTCTCGATGGCATATTTGGTACTGGGAATGGCTCTACTTCATCCAGTCCCAACATTGGAGTTTTGGGAATTACTAAGGTACAAATATTTTTCTAATTAAACGGTTGGGCCTCTAAATGTTGATCCATTTCATTGATTGGTCTGGCCACTATGAGTTCCAAAAGGATGACCTCCAATTCCGAGATCATCTTCTTCCCCATCTCTTATTTTTTCATTGATGGGTTTATGGAATGCTGATAGAGGTCTCTTTCGCCTTGACTGGCCTGGGTAGGCAGGCACTCCGGTGCTATTCCTTCATACATTCCACAAATTTTTATTAAGCACTGACCCTTTGCCAGGCTACTGTTCTAGGCACTTGGGATACATCAGTGAATAAAAAAGAGAAATACCCCCATCGTCTGTGGAGTTTAGATTCTAGCAGAGGAAGACAAGCAATAAATAGTAAGCATAATAAGTATGACAGAAATATGGGGCAGGGTGGGGAATCAGGAGAGTAAGTGTTAAATCGGGTAGTCAGGCTAAGCCTCGTTGAGAAGATGACTTTGAGCAAAGACCTGATGGAGCTGAGGGAAGGAACTGTGCAGGTACCTGGGGAGGGGCATTCATTCTGGCAGGGCAATCACCAGTGCAAAGCCTATCACAGGAGCAGGCTGGCACTTGGCAGATCAGCAAGGAGGCTAGTGGGGCAGGAAGCAGAGAGGGAAGTGGGAGTGGGCCTGGGAAGAGCAGATAAGGTTCTTGGGGTAGCTGAGGGCCAGGTCCTGCAGCCCTACAGGCTGCCAGGGGCCGAGTGGAAGTGGGGGCCGCAGGGTGTGACTCCATCTGATTTTTTTTTTTTTTTTTTTAGAATCACTATGGCTGCTATGATGAAAGTAGAACATGGTGGGCAGGAGAGAGGGTAGAAACAGGAGACCAGTTAGGAGATGGCACTAGTTCTAGAGGAGAAATTATATTACTCATTACAAATAAATCAATCTTACAGTAGTAACACAGTTTTCAAACTGCAGCAGCATCATTCTCTTTCAGATGAAATCGGTTGTGGAGTTAAGTGGCAGCACAAGCCACAGCGAGTCACTCAGGTTGAAGCAGTGCCTGGGTCTGAAGTCCTCCCCACTTGTCTCTCCTCCCTACCCCACTCCAAGCCCAGACACCACAATCCAGCCTCAGTAAAAAGGAGGCTACTTCTTGGCCTTTCAAATTTACTAGCAAATAAATTTTATATCCCAGTTGCTTTGGGCCAGAGCTTGCTGTTTGCCCAGGGTGTTGAGGAATGCAGCTCAGCCCTAGCCATTGTATGTTGCACAGCTAGACACCATTAGAACTGGTTCACCATCTAGGGTGGCCTGCATGAGTCAGAGGTCTTCCTCCTGAACTTGAGAACTTGGGGGTGGGCTGGAGCCTTCTAGAACTGTTTGACCTCTTTAAAATTAGAAATCCTCCTCCAGCCCTCTGCAAGATTATATAACCAGATAAAAGGAAACCAAATACTTAGTTTGGTTAATTGTAACTGCAAATCCAAGTGAAAGGGAGCAGGGCATGCGTTGTACAAGCCTGACATGCTGGTTGATTTCCTATAATTTGGCCAGGCCATCACAGAGCTCAGCCTCAGGTGTGCTGGTGGCCCCACCTGCTGCCTGTTGCTCCTGGCACATGACATGTGAGGGCTGCCTGATGGGCACGTCCTCCAGGATGCCTGGGTCCTATTGCTGCCCATGGTGAGAGCAGATGCTGAGCACACAGAGCTAAGGGGAGGGTCAAATGGGCACCAAATGGGGCATAAGCCACTCACTCTTTAGCCAGTTTGCTGCCATGAGCCTGTAGACATATAACTAATCCAAAGTAACAGAGTAGTAAAATTATTATAGATGGACTCTTGGGGAAACAGTTTAACAAGCCAGCTCCCTTTCTGCACTTTTTAAAACACATCATCACATAATTTAACCAAGGTCACTGTAGGGAGTAAGTAGTGCTGTCATTAAGGTTCCTTCTAAAACTTGACTGAGATGGTTTGGGGAATAATTATTATAATTTCGATAGTGCTAGCTTATTCTGAAAAGGCACCCTGCCCTCATTTTTTAATTGAGCCAATTGATCTTACCTAGGAATCCCTTTGGACCCACTTACCCTAGGTGAAGGCCTTATCCATTTGAGAGCAATATCAGCCCTGGAATTGGTTTCCATTGCCCTGACTCACAGGGGGATATAATTGAGCCATCTACACAGATGCCTTGGGGTGGGGAAGTAGGACTTGCACCAGAAACTTCTCTGTGGCCTGAGCCATGTGGCTGATGGAAGATTTCTGCCCAGGAAAAAGGAAGCACAAGGTTATAGGCAGTATTCTGCCTCTTGTCCAGCTGAAGGACTTGGGACAGTCATTTTCTAATTAGAACTCAGATCTGAAATCTGACAATTCTAGATCTAGATCTGTGTTGTCTAATATGGTAGTCAGTAGCCACATGTGGCTGGTGGCCACAGGAAAGCACAGATACAGAACGTTTCCATCACTGTATGAAATTCTTCCAGACACCACTGTCTGGACCATTGTATCAGACTTCCAGAACAAATAGAAAGAGGGTGATATGTGGCTCTTCCGGAGAATCTACCTCCATTTCCTGGCAACTCCACTGTTTGCTATTCTTTATCCAGTTATGGCGTTCCATGTACAAACGTGGACATTGTAACTATTTGATCAGAGTTGAGGCTGCCTACCCCATTGTGTGTTCTGAAGTTCTGAGGGTTGGATGGGTTGGATTCCATGTGCAGGACTTCTCTGCTGAGTGTGTTCCAGTGTCTGTCCCACAGACAAGGGCAGCATGACATGGTAGGGAGGTGGCTGCTTTGGATCCAGCCTTGGTTCCATCACATTCTCCTAAAGTGACCACGGGCAAGTTACGTCACCTCTCTGAATTTCTATACCCTTGTCTGTAAAGATAGCTCACAAGGTTTTGGAATTAATAACTTGATGTAAAGCACTTAGCATGTGGTTAAATAAGCAAAATAGAGATACTGTTATATGATATTTAGCCCTAAGTTTATTTCTAGGAAGAGTAAACACCATCTTCCCTGGCTGAACTATCTCTTTGATGGTGGTATCCAGAGGGAGGTCATTTCTCCTCTGCAGCATACCACCCTGTTGAACACTTTGGAAAGTCAGAAATGCAGTGTCGATTTTTCAGTGGCCCTAGGCAAAGCCACAGTTCAGGAAGGAGATCAGAAGGGAGTCTGGGAGGTGATTCTGGGGAATGGAGAAAGGAGATGTGAAGGCTCCATGTAAGCACCAGCAGGGCAGGGATTTTAGGGCTGTGTCTCTGGTGTTTGGAACAGAAGTGTATAATAGGCACTCAATGTTTGTTGAACAGAAGAATGGCTAACTTCATGCTTTTTTTGGACAGCATCTAAGGCAGATCAGCCTTCCTTGCATGGTTTTCATAAAAGATTTATTGTTTTAGGCATCCCTAGGGCCAGCTCAGCCCTCCCCCCTGCACACCTAACAGGGCTGACCCTGCTGGGAGGTGGATCCCTCTGTCTGGTTGCTCTTTCTCTTACTCATGCCTCAAGACCATGTCCAGGGAACCCTCCCCAACTTTTCAGAGTTTTCTCTTTCCACTGGATTCCCACGCAACATAACAATTGCAACAGTACAATTATTTGATCATAAGCTTGTGACTTACTCATCTTTCTATCCACCACCACCCCCCATCCCAGTTTCCCAAGCTGGTCACGTAGTAGGTCCTTGAAAATGCTGAAAAACAAGCTATTTTTAAATGAAAGCCTTCCTAATCATGTATTACAGCCAAGTGTAAGTCACTTTTGCTCCGTTTGCCAGTTTGCATGACCTTTTCACCGCTCCCCTGCACATAGTGGTGGTATAATGGGAGGAAATGTAAATTGGAGTAATGGACACTAGGCTCCAGTGTCAGCTGTGACTGATTCTAGCTGGACAGCTCAGTGAAAGATTCAATTCTTATTCTGAGCTTGACCCTTGGGCACATTGAGAAGCTGTTGGAAGGTCCAGCCCAGCATCATCCAGGAGAACAGTGCAATAGTGGAAATGTTCTGTACCTGCACTATCCCCTGTGGGAGCCCCCAGCCACACATGCCTACTGAGCACTTGAAATGTGGCTAGTACAACTGACGGACTGACTTATACATTTCATTTCATTTTAGTTACTTAAAATTTAAGTAGCCATCTTCTGTTCACTGTAAGTCATACATAAAGCCCTGTGGACACTATTCCATTTCTGGAACCTGTTTTATCCAGTTTACGTCCTCAGGATGTTTTCCTGGGAGAGGCAGCACAGAGTAGGGGCCAACAGTGCAGGATTCTTGAGCCCAGTGCTAGCTCCATCTCTCGCTACCTGGGTGACAGTAGACTAGATGAACGCTTCTAGAAGGCAGAGATCAAGTTTAACCAATAAAGTTGGGACCACATGGGAAATGCTTTACATGGTGCTGCCGAAGTCCAGAGTTGGGGAAGCCAAGCCTTGGAATCAAAGAAGGCTTTGCAGAAGAGGTAGCATTGGGGTAGTATTTTGAAGGATGTGTCTGAGAACTGGCCAGAAGAGGGATGAGAACCTGAAGACTTAGGCAGGGGACTGACCTCCCAAATCACAATGTTAAAGAGGTCACTCCATCATAATGGAGAGGACACATAGGCAGAGGAAAGGCCAGAGGCAGCAATTTCAGGTGGGAGGCTGTCAGATAACCTAATGCTTCCCAGGTGCTGTTCAGACTATTTTACATGCATCTCATTTAATCCTCAAAGCAGAAGCACACTGTTCATTGTTACAGAGATGAGGATCCTGCCACCCAGAGAGGCTAATGCCTGTCTCATAGTTAGAGGTGGAGCAGAGACAGGAGCCAGGCAGCTGCTGCACTCTTTGGTCTCCAGGCTGTGCCACCTCTAATGAGTAATACACCAGGAGGAAAAGTAGTTCCAGAAATGTTTGGGGGTTTTGTCTGATCTGCCAGAACCCAGAAGAGAAGCAGGGGCCAAGTGTAGTTTTTGCATTTGAGACACTAGAAGATCATCCTGGCCAGTGACTGTGGGCATTAGAAACCCAGGACCAGAGTACAGGAGCAGGTGCACACTGAGGTGACATTGCCCAGGGCTCAGAGACGCAAAGGCTGAGCCCCAGGATCCCCGTAGTCAAGGAGAGCAGAACAGTCAGCTTCTGGCAAGAACCGGATGGGATGGGAACAAGGAAAGGTGGTGGTAATCTTTTTACTCTAGTTGTGTTTATAGTAATATTTATGTGTTTAGAGTATTGAGGTCAATCCTCATTGTGAAATGAGACTGAACCCTCTTAACAGTTTTAAGAGTAATCCAGATTTTTGTCTGTGGGTTTTGTCACATTTTCCCGCGGGGCCTGAGTAGTTGTGTGTGCTGCTGGAGGGCCTCGAGGTGAACGCCTGTCTTTGCCCTCTGTGTGTCCCACAGGTTGGCAGTCGTCGGGTGATACAGTACGGCGCAGCACTCATGCTGGCATTAGGCATGATTGGAAAGTTCAGTGCCCTCTTCGCCTCGCTCCCGGATCCTGTGCTTGGCGCCCTCTTCTGTACTCTCTTTGGTAAAATTCAATTTCCTTGATAGCTGGCTTCCTTCTCAGGCTCCTTTTCTTTCTTCACATTTGCTAAGGAATCCCTTCAGTGAGATTGAAGGTAACGATAAATTTCTTTTTTAAAATACAAAAGGATATACCTTAAAAACATAAACACAATATATCACTTTCTGAGTTGAATTCATGTTAAAGGTAGAGTAATTGAGCTAGGAAAAATCAAATTAAATTTTATTCCCTCTAGTTGCCATTTCTAATTGATTTAAACTCAGATATCTTCCCCTCTGGGCCATTTAAAACTGACCATTTTTACGATGGGACTTGATTTGATCTCTGTGCCATTCAGCTACAGTAATCAGGGACTTGATATTTGGGTGCATTTCCCAATGTAATTGAAATTGTTTGAATCTAGTTTTTGAGGGAGAACCAATGTCCTTAGTTTTCTGCCTGGTCTAAAAGAAGCATAGTGTGATGTTTATGCCCCTTATTTAGGCCCAAATAGTGCCTAGGCCAAGGGTCATTTGGATCAGAGACCCAGGTGGTCACATTTTGGTCCCCGTCCTGTCACTACACAGGTCTCCCAACGTGTTTCTCATGGGACCAAGAAAGGACATTGTAGGGAGTCTGTCTTCAACAGTGTATCTGTCATCCATGCCATAGGTGAGATAATGTAACTTGTGGTCTAATGTTTTTCTTTCCAGGAATGATCACAGCTGTTGGACTCTCTAACCTGCAGTTCATTGATTTAAATTCTTCCCGGAACCTCTTTGTGCTTGGATTTTCAATCTTCTTTGGGCTTGTCCTTCCAAGTTACCTCAGACAGAACCCTCTCGTCACAGGTAGGGAAAACAGGCCTTGAATCTTGTGGGGAAGTTGGAACCACAGCCAGCACTTCACAATCACCAGTTGGAGAGTACTTTGGAACTTTAGGAATCATTTTGATGAATGTTCATCTGTGTTTTTCATTTAAATCCCACCTGGCTGAAGCTTATCTGGAAGCCCTTTGCACTCCTAACCACCTGTTTTCCATAGCAGGTGAACCATTTTACATTCCTACCAGGCATGTGGGACACAGTGATTTCTGTTTCTCCATATTCTCACCAAACACATGTTATTTTTCTGTTGAGGATCATTATATTTTTAAATATAGAAAGTGTGTGAACTTCTGTCTTAATATATCTCATTCATGTGATAACATCTTTAAAAATAAAGTTGCTCCTAATTAAAAGAAGCTAAGCACTAATTAGTAACCCAGAATTCTGAAGCCCTTCGTTTGATTGCTGACCCCACAAATATTTTTGTTGTCTTGTTATTCACTTTGTAAAATTTTCAGCCTTACAACAGCCATCTTTTATATTGATTTTTTTTTAATTTGCAAACAACACCGCCCTCCACCCCCAAAGTCTTCATAGTTCATTACAGGTTGAACTTCACTGTATTAGATTTATCATCTGTGAACCATTGTTAGGAATTTCCCTTATGGAGATAACTTTTGATTATTGTTGAAAGCATTCATAGTAGTTTAACATGTTACTGGCAAAAATTTATCTACACATGCATAGCAGAAATTTACACTTTCATGCACTGTATTGACGGACTGGCAATTAGTGTCCACCCCAGTGTTCCTTTCTAAGTCAAGGGCAGGCCTATTCTGGCTGGCAGTGACTAGTTGCTATGTCATTTTCAGGGATAACAGGAATCGATCAAGTGTTGAATGTTCTTCTCACAACTGCTATGTTTGTAGGAGGCTGTGTGGCTTTTATTTTGGATAACACCATCCCAGGTATGTGGTATATATCAAACATGCTTATTACATATGTGACTTACTTTTTTTGACAAATAAATATGGGAAGCAGGAAGAGTGAATCAGTTCAAAGCAATCACTGGTTAAAACTGTCTTTTCTAAAGTGGTTAAGATGACACTTTCAGCCACCTTTCATGAATCACTTTTTTGCTAATAAACTTAGTTTTTTTTTTCCCTTCTTGCTGAATTACATTTAAGAAAAAGCAGGTGAATTCCTTGCATTTGGTGAAGTGGCAGCAGGATGCCTTAAGCATGCTCCAGCTGCCTGCCCTTCTGCTCAACCTTGCCTGGAGCTCTGCAGTTTGGCTTTCGTTGACTTGTTCACACACTCCTGAGCCAGCTGCTACCAGTGGGCAGCACTTCTTCTCCTTGTGGAGCCTGTCCTTTAAATGAGTCATTGCAGAGGCAGGCCACTGCCAGGACCAGTGCCTGAGAGATGTATGGAGGCAGTTCTCTCTCCAAAACCCATAGCCCTTGTTTCACAGCTGGTGCATTCTATGCCAAATGCCGGGTGATGGACTAGGATGTGATGTCGGCCCTGCCTTGTGGCCTTCCCAGCTTCCTAGAGGAGACTGCTTTGTATCGTTATAAAGTGCTGCCATGGACGCACTGGTAGATTCATCTGCTGTCAAGGAAGGATGATGTTTATTCTTGAACTTGAAGGTTTTATTGAGATTTTGTCCGTAACCTACCTCCAAAAAGCCTCAATCAAGAAGAGGTTACTAGGGGCGTGAGGGGTGAATACATCTGGCAGAAGGAATCACACACATGAATAGGTGTGTGTGATTTTATTCCTATTTACAATATTTTATTCCTATTTAATGTTATTGACTGTAGATTTTTGAAAGGTGTTAGATCTGTGGGAGGCCAGTAACATCCTCTTTCTCTCCTAAGTCAGCACTGAGTGAGAGAGAGAGACGAAGGAGTCAGGCAGATGGAAATTAAAATCAGTTTTATTACTGAAATGCCCATGGGAGGGAATAGCTTATATGTAAGAGGTTCCTAAGCCCTGCGCCATAGAGTCAAGCTCAATACCCAGGCTCAGGCAGAGAAGTACATTTTTAGGGCTCCCATGTAGCTAAAAGCAGGTGCCAGTGCTCCTCTCTGCACTGGAAAGATTTTTGAAAAGGAGTCCAGGAGTTGCTGAACCCTGTAGGTCCAGATCTTTCTCCCTGACTCATCTGTCAGGGTACAGAATTGCCAGGAGTGTTATGCCAGTGGCAGTTCATCCTCATAGGAGCACAACAGGTGGGGAATATGTGACAAATGCACCCCCCACCCACTGAAATGGAGCAAAGCAGTATAAAAACTGATATGTCTGGATGAGTGGTGGGTGGGTGTGCAATGACCAAGTGGTGAAGGCATTGTGAGATGTAATAATGACTCTGGGCCCCATTTTGCAAGATCAGATCAGCATTTTAGAGAGAAGTGGTTCTTTTGAGGGATTAGTGATTCTTAGATTTCTGGATTGGGCATCAGCTACTCCTCAAGTGTTCTTTCTGTCATCCCATTCCTTTCATTCTATGAGACAGCAGCAGTGGAGAATCTCAATTCTTGGTAGAACTATTTAACTAAACATTCCATTGTTCTGTTTTTGTTTTGTTGTGTGTATGTGTTCCACAGGTACTCCAGAGGAAAGGGGAATCAGGAAATGGAAGAAGGGCGTGGGCAAAGGGAGCAAGTCTCTTGATGGCATGGAATCCTACGACTTGCCATTTGGCATGAACATTATTAAAAAATACAGATGTTTCAGCTACTTACCCATCAGCCCAACCTTTGCAGGCTACACATGGAAAGGCCTCAGGAAGAGCACTAACAGCCGGAGTTCAGATGAAGACTCGCAGGCCACAGTATAGCCGTAGCTCACCCTGTGGCCCAGCCGCAGTGAGGCATGAACCTGTAGTTCCTTGCTGAGTAACAAGCAGTAACATATATATTTGTAGATCTGCATTTACATTGTCCACCTCAGAGCTAAGACAGATTACAAGTAGCTTTTTTGTTGTGGGTTGTGATCCTGTCTAATATGGTGTCTCACCTATCTTTTTATTTAAGCCCTTGACCCTTTGCTCTTGAGAGCATCCATTGCTGGCCATGGTCACTGAATTTGAAGTTCCTGTCCTCCCGTGGGAGTGGATGCTTGAAGCCCACAGCGATTCCTTGTTTTCAGTCCCCTTCTAATACCCTGTGCTAGCTTTCTTACAGGCCACCTCCAGGGTCCAGGGGCTTTCTGTGCTTGGAAGCACCAGGACCTTCACCTGCAAAGACCTCCTCTGGTCAAGGGACACCAGTATCCTTGCATTGTCAAATGAGATTCTGTGTTCCCTGATACTCCTGTAGGAGGTGGCTGCTGGCCAGTTGAAGACAGTGACATGCTTACCCTATCCCCATATCTGTGCATGGGTAAAGTCTGTACAGATAAAATTAGAATGGAAATTGGGGGATTGGACGGGAAGGGAAGGTACCTTGAAATCAGTATCTGATTCTCAACTACACTTTCTTGGTGCCACCCTGACCCAAGCTGGGCCAGCACATCTCATATTGGCCTCTTTTTGTTTACTGGTAGCTGAGACACTCTAGCTGGCATTTCTCACTCCTGGCTGGTGTGACAGGTATAGAGTGCCCATGAGGGCACCAAGCAGGTGTTTATGGGAGTCTTGGTTCTGTTGACATGTGGATGTCAGTTATTGTTGTGTGTATCTATTATTACAAGATTTTATTCCTATTTAACGTTATTGACTGTAGATTTTTGAAATCAGTGTTTTTCCATGTGACCCTCTTACCTTACATCCCTATTACTTGTCCCTCACCTCCTATCCCCCATTAAGAAAGGAACCAGCATTTGTAAAGCTGTAGACACCGTCAGGGAAGCTTGTTGTCCTGGCTCTTAAAGGCCAGTAACCATTATTGCGGTTGTGTTTTGTATTGTTTGATACCATGAAAGTGTAAATACATAATGCTTAACCTATTTATCAAAACTGACTACTGGACCAGAGCCCAGAAACCATGGGTTAAGTTATAGTGAATTTGTTTTGTGAAGAAGGGAAGCTGGGGCAGGTGACAAACAGCCACCATATTGAATGGTGCGGCCTCCTGGTAAATTAAACACTGCAGTTCTGTTGCCATTCATATCTGGCAGTTAAGGCTTAAGGAGACTTTCTGTGAGTTGCCATGTTGAATGTCCACTGGATTTTGATATTGCAGAGGGGAAGATTAGATCCTCTGGCCAAATGCTGCCTTTCCTGTTTAAGTTATTGCTGAAGGTAGTAAGAGCAGCTGGCAGGCCCCCTCTGTTGAATTCTAATTGATTATATTAAATTGTTTCTGACAAAAATGACTTATTGAATTTGGCTTGAAATTTGCAATCAAAGGAAAATCCTGAGTGACCTCGTTTCTTGAGTATTTACCTGGTTGTTTACCAGGCAGTGAGCACATGGCTCTTGGCAGCCTTGTGTCTACATGGTGAACTTCCTGCCCCCGCAACTGGCTCAGCTCACCACACTGGGATGTCTTTGGCAGCATTATTGTGTCACTGCAGCCTCCTTGACTCCTGTAAAGTTTGGGGCTTTAAGGCCTATTCTGGCAAGAACACTTCAGAGCCACTGCATTGTTTTGCCAAGACCTTATTGCAGATTAAGTAAAGAACTTAGATTCTAAATTTAAATTTGTATGGTATGTTTTTTTGAAGTGTATTTGGTGCATATTTACTTTAGAAGCACACTGGTTAAATGATTTTCATCCGTTTGCCTTGGTAAGCCCTCGAGGCTCACAGCCCTAGTTGTCCCCTTAGTTGCTTAGTTCCTTCTATTTGTAATTTGCTCAGCATCTCCAATTTCTCTCCTCTGAATAATGGGGAAAATTGTAAAACATCCCAGAGATTGCAGTATTCTAGCTATCTAGATGAGCAGAAGGACCAAATATCCAAATGAAAGCCTCTGAACCATTGGTAATTCAGGAACAAGTTCCTTTCAGCTTAACTTGACCCAGGAATCTTCCCTCCCAGTAGGTAACACTCAGGGCATGTGCTTCAGATGTCTAGGAATCCTCTCCCTTCTGAAAACTCTTCTGGGCTGGGCTTATTGAGGGGTTTCAGATCTGCTGGTCTGGGGAGATATTTTCCGTAAGCCTTCAAATGTGCAAAGGAGCCCTGTGCCCACACCTCCTATTGGAAAAAGAGGGTTTTTGCCCTTCTTGTTCCATTGGGGCCAACTTGGATTCTCTGTCCAAGGTGGGGGAAGGGGACAGGAGATTAAGAAGTGTCCTCTGCCTAGCAGATATGCTACAGAATGAGTCTGTAGTTGAAAGAAAAATATATTCATCTGCTTCTTGTGTTTAAGCACACACCTGAAGGGGAGGTTTGGGGGGACACAGTGGCCATGCACGGTCTGTGCCTGTGCACCTCCCACTTGCATTGCTGGGGCCACATACCCACTATGCTTTGGCCAATAGAATGTTTTAGGATGTTTTGGATGTGAATGTCCGTGGGTAGGGCATTCACCCTCCAATTCCCACATGAACACCTACCCACCGTTTTCACATTTACATTGGTGATCCTGATGTGGAAAGTAGAAACTTATAAATAGGACAGTAGATGCTGCAATATCACTGTGGCGGCAAGGGCGAACCCACCACTGGTTTTGATAAAATATCTTAATGGTTCACAATGGGAAGTGGCTCCAGTCTTTGTAGGCAATTTTCATTCTCATTCTCACTAGGGAATTAAACATAGATTCATTGATACAGAATCTTTCTTAAGATGATTTCAAATGTTAGATTGTAATAAGTTTCTTGTGATTGATCAAGGCAAGGGAAGTGGCTTAGCCATGGGTCCTGATGGTTTCCCGTTTTCATGGTAACAAATTCACACACAGGATTTGCTTCATACTGTAGAATACTGACTTTCATGATGACAACCTGGTTTATGCATGAATATTACAGTATTTCCATATAGTAAAATAACATTTCTACCCAGGATAATAGTCACAGTTTTCCAGGGAGGGAATGATAATTTTCATGACAATGTCATGTGATGATAGAATTTCTCCATTGATGAATCTTTCGTATGTGTGTATACTTTATTTACCCATGCATATATTTTATGACCATGAGCTAAGTTGTTACTTCTTTAATTGATGTCTCTGCTGAAATATTGGTACTAGCAACTTAGACTTGAAGTTGGCAACTATAATCTTCCATAGTATCGATGCCACAAGAGTGGTCAGGCCAGATAGGAGATGAACAAGGAGCTGTGGCGGAAGCCTCATCAGAACCTGTCTGGTGCAAAGAAAGGCAGCATCCTGCACACTCACCCCCACGGCTTGGGGTGGATGCTCAGCTGCAGGCAGCAGGCCTGGCGTGACTGTTGCTGCCCCCTGGTGTGCTCACCCAGCTGTGCCCCCTGGACACTGTGGCAGCCTGAGCTCTCACAGGGCCCAGGGAGCCACTGTTGGCTTTAGGGAAACACCTGGGGCCTCACATGCCCTGCGTGTTGTGCTCTGTCCCCTTATGATTTTGACACAGAGAATAGGATCTCCCCCACCCTCCACCCCTCCCGTAGTGCAAGAAGATTGCCCGTTTTTGCCCGCGTTCAGCATCTGCCCATGGACCTGTGAAGCACGTTAGCGCAGAGGATCCCTTTTCAGCAGCCTCCACACATTCCTGTCCTTTTAGTCTGTTCTTTGACTGTGCCTCGTCTTCACTCTACACTAGTAACATCCAGCCTCCTTAGAATTAATTGCTCTGTGTGTTTCCCAACACTTAGGACACCGTTCCCAGTGGTGCCGTCTTACTGACAGTCAAGTTAATACCCTTTTTGTTCGTTCGTAACAACCTTTGACATGTTAATAAATTTCTGATTGTTCTTAAAACAGTGGGGATGCCTATATTTTCCTTAAGTTTTTGTGACTGACTTTGGCTATATACCTTTCTGGGATTTTGTTTGTTTTTTATTTTGCATACTGAGGGTATTTGGGGTGGGGTTGTTTTTTGAGATGTCTAATTCTTTTATGGAGTTTTTAAAAAGAATTTTCATATTGTTTTTCTAACATGGCTTCATTAAACGTTTAAGTATTTTAAAAATATGTAATATTTGGACCAGATGTTGTGAATAATAGTAGAGATAAAGCTATTTTATTCTGTATTTTTAAAACTGTTCCGTACAAATAAAAGCTCTCCTGGACACAGTTCTGCTGTTCACATACCTTCTTTGGCTGGTCTTTAAAGAAACCTGTCATTATTTAAAAGTCATCACTTAGGGGAGGAAACTCGACTAGTAAAAATTTTAGTTCAACAAGTTCACCTTTGTTAGATACATCGAAGACTCAAAGGAGGAAAGCAGTTGTTGAAGTATCATTGGCCCGCACAGCTAGAGAACCACGGTGGGCTCCTTGGGAGGATGCCCAAGGGGGAAGGGAGACCTTGGTTAGAGGATGCACTCATGCTGGACTTTGGCGTGAAATTATGAGTCTCTTAGTAAGTTAGTGACATCTGGAGGCTGGAGACCTTTTAGGGACCAGAAAGGCTGTCGTGTCCACACAGTGGAATCAAAGACTCCAGAGGAGTCTTGGCCCCTTCAGGCCAACTATTTAGGCTGGGACAGGAAATGCCGAGGTGTGGGTGCCAGAAAAAGCTCAGAGCCAAGCCTGAGAGAGCAGTGGGTGACAGCTCATTCAATCAGAGGCATGGCTCCTGGCGGGGTATGAAGACAAGTCCAGAAGTGTTTAATTGGTGTGTTTTTTAATTTAGAACAAACTTAGAACTCCTCCATCCCCATCTCTATCCCTGGTTTGTCTCTGGCAGTTTCAGCCGTAGTGACTACCACAGCCACTCCCATAGGGTGTTCAACCTGTTGCTTCCTGTTCCCAGTATCCTGACCTATGAGCCACTGCTAGGCATCCAGTTACCAGATAATGTCTTACCTTACACTGTATACATGTGGAAAATATATGTGAGGTATTTTAAA